TATATTTTGGATACTGAATTTTTTTTACGATCAAATTTAAGCTCCAATAAATACAAATTAATTTGTGTTTTATCTCTATTATACTCAACGAATTCTCATACACATTAAACACTTCAAGATCTTCCCCTTTTCTATCATAAACGTGCATTTTTAACAAAATTGAGATTGAAATGCAGTGGTATTATTTGAATGATAACAGTAAATTATCAATAACTTTTTCCATCTCGCTTGTCACATTATTTATTTTATAGAAATTTTCACAAATTTCATCATTTTGAAATCCGTATATAGCCTCAAACAAACACCAAGACAATGAAATGTGAAGTTCTTAATAATAGACTGAAATGATTTCTATCTACGATTCAAAATATTCATCGTGATCAACTTTCTAGAAATTTCGATTGTAAATAACTTCTCATCCTACTCTTTTCATTTCTTTGGATCATATTCTATATCGTATCCATCAATAAAATTAATGTCTTAAAATAATATTCTTAAATATATAAAAATAACACATAAAATTAATAATTAGAATCGTGTCTTTTCTTTATTTTTACTTAGATGTCATTTCTAAGGTAAATAGTAAATGATATAATCTTCTATATTAACATCAGAGAGTAATATAAAATCAAGAGATTAATTTTGGTTAAAAAGATGTTAGTCATGTATTTCCTATATAGTAACTGGGATGTTATTATTAAAAAAATATTTATTAATATAAAATCTTGAATGTTTTTATTAAAAGTTCTAAAATAATTTTCATAAAAGATAAGATAACTTTTTTTTTATATAATATAATTTTGAATCTTTTGTCTACTTTCTTCATTATTATCTCAAGTGAAAATAAAAAACAATTTTTTTGTCTCGCAATATTTTGCGGCCGTAATACCAATTAATGTCTTCGCCCTCGAGCCACTCATGTATTCATTTATAGGACCATGGTCGTGAGGAGTATCAAAGGATTTGCTGGTAAAATGAGTTTGATATAAAAATAAATAACTTTCACATGTAGCGAATATAAAAATTATAAGAATAATTATAAAAATATTATCTTTTAATTTATTTATTATTATTATCCTGTATAATTTTATAAATCTCTAAAAATTTTCATTTTTCTCTTTAAGTCAAAAATGACATTAATGTATCGATTCTCCATTAATGTATCCGAACCTCTTTTTAATGTATCGATACATGTATCCGATTCTCTTTTTAATGTATCAGCGCTTTAATTTTTTGGTCATTAATATCCGATCCCTCCATTTATGTATCCGATCCTCTTTTTAATGTATCAACACATGTATTCAACCCTCTTTTAATGTATTACCGCATTGATTTTTTTGGCCATTAATGTATCCGATCATCTTTTTAATGTATCAATGCTTATATTTTGTATCCGTTTGAGAGATTTCTGTAATATAAACTTTAATAGATAAATTGTAATTTTGCCTTCAAAATATATGATTTTTGTGTTTTGCCCAAAATCATATTTGTATGTTATAACTAGAGTTTGCATAATTGTGTTCCATAACAAATTTTATGTTTGCTATGGAGCTTTTGATTTGTATAATTCGCTGGAAACATTCAGTTTTACACAAATTATTCAGTTCTGTGTAAATTTATTTATACATTGTAATTTTGTACACTAAGATCAGTATTTGTATAATTATAAATATATAGGACAAAAATATATATATTTGCATTTGTTTTTGTTTACACACTTTTCTCTCGTTTTATACAAACACAAACATATTTTATACCAATATAAATTGACTACTTGTATACTGAAAATGACTAATTGTATATTAAATCAAATGGCAAAACGGAAATATTTGTTGCAAATTACAATCAAAATTAACTATGACTATATTATTTAGTTTGAATTAATAGTTTGCTATTTCATACAATTTTTTCAAATAAAAAATGGGTTGGGTATTGAACTGTTTAAGTTTACTTTGGGCTTAAATGAGCTAATACTTTGGTGCGGTATCATGAACCGTACAATTTGATTCGCTTAATATCAATAATTTTAATATATTGTTATTTACCCTTTACATTCGATCAATGTAAATAAAGAGTCATAAAACGAATTGAAATTGAAAATTGATATTAAATTTAATTGAGAATTTTCTTAAAATTAATTGAGATGAACCCATTTAAAATTATCGTGAGTCTAACCCGGCAGAGCGAATTAGGCAAAATATCTGCAATTAGGCTCATTCTGACGCTCATTATTAACTTCCATAAATAATAATCAGATATTAAGTGCAACCATTATGTGCAAGATACTTTGTAACATTAAAAAAAAATACAAGTAACATTCGTCATAACACCTATACAAATAAAAATACTAATCTATAGGATTATCACCCTAGTTATGCTCATTAGCTGTATTGGTTAATACAGGAAGACTTCAAAATACAAATCTTAATGCCAGCTTTTTTCTTGATATCTAACACATTGTGAACACTGGCTAAAGGATAATTAATTACCTCAGAAAAATGTTTACTCATCATAGTTGATGTAAAGATAAAATGATAACGACTCTATCAAGTAATGTTAACATTCTACCTATGGCAAGGTTCACGAGGGGCTAGGTAGTTCAGATTGGAGTCATGATCGAACATGACACTTGCTTGATGGACTTAGTTAAATAATAAAATTGCACACTTGCTATCAGCTATAACTTTTGACATAATAATACATATTTAAATTTAAAAATTTAAAATATATTTAAAATATGTATCACATGAATTACGATATAAAATATAATTAGTTATAATTAGGAAGTCCCTTAAAAGGGAGTTTAGGAAGAGCCAAGATCTGCATGTTCTGTTTAATTTTGTTGGGAAGTGAACAATCACATGGTTTGAAAATTAGGCTCATGTGCCCACATGCCTATAACTTCTCCAATGTCATTATGAACTCTCTGCTAGGTTATGTAGGGCCAAATTGCTAAAATATTTGTTAATTTACTCACTAATTAATTGACACTACTGATTAACTACTGCATCTTTTTCTTTTTTAATAACTAATTGTTATATTCGAGCTAATTATTCATGCAGATTTGGACTATTCTATTGAGTTCGGATTAATATAAATATCAAATAACTCTATCAGCAATGTTTATGCATTTTCTTTACCAATGTAACTTACTATTTTAAATCATGATCTCTAAAAATTTGCTTATATGCATTATTGACTTCTAACTGACCTCACTTTGGGTTTGACAACTCTAACTATTTTCTTTGTTTTAATTTAGATGACACATTTTAAATTTTAAGATTCAAATATCTATTTTTTTTTTAATTTAGATGACACATTTTAAATTTTAAGATTCAAATATCTATTTTTTATCGTAATTCTTTGTATAATTTTAGATATTTTAAATTGTCAATTATTATGACTTATAATATTTTTTACGTAGCTATAAATATATAGATTTCAAGATTCGAACATCTATCTTTCACCATAATTTTTTCGTTAAATATTTTAAATTGTCAATTATTGTGCCTTATATTATATATAAACCTCATTTTAAATAATTTAAAAATTCTACGAGTAAATTTTTGGTCAAACTTAAACTGTTTGATTCTTATAAATTGAAATGCGTCATGTAAATCGAGATAGATGAAGTATTTTTTTTTATGGTCTGCTAGATAGGCTATAGAGTTGAGAGATCCAAAAAACTTCAAGGAGACAGCGAAAGTCCAAAGAAGAAAAAAATAATCAAATTCTAAGGAAGTCTTTTGGTTCAAGAATTGTTTTATTGTCTTCTATACTTATATTATAAAATAATATACAAATTGAATCCTTTTAAAGACAATAATAAGATTCCATGTTTACTATTAGAAAAAAACTCTCTTTACGTACCAAAGTTGTCCATGCATGTGCCTTTCCCATATTTTTTTTTAAAAAGACAGCAAATAGCTCATTTGTTTCTATTTCACCAGACCACTTAGTTTAAATATATATATTCTCACCGTCCAAATATTTACTATTAGCATATACTAAAGAACCGTTAAAAAGAGTTCAAAAATTCAATAAAACACTACGATGCCCCAGAGATGGGGAGCAAGGATTTAGGGCGCGGTTGATACGAACGAAAATGTTTTTTTAAAAAATAAATAACTTTCTTTTTATGTGTATGATACATAAGTAAAAGAAATATTATTATAAAATATTTTGTATATAATTTAGATAATATTGTGCGAGATAGAGATTGGTATGGATGCGGCGGTGATGAGATGCGGTGGTGGAGTGTCTCATCGTCGAAAAATTATGTTGTATATAGTAATTAAATTTTAGTTTTATTAATATAGATACATAAATTGACGCCTTTTGAAACAAGTCGAAGATTTAATCTATTGATTAGAGATTACAAACACTATATGAGGTCGTGTGTACACGTCCTACTAGCCTATTTATAATTTCTTTTACTATAACTATTGACACCCCTTTTCGCCACAAATGGGATGAGGTTAGGAGATAGAGGTAGTATACTGTTTTCTCTACTTTTGCTGGGAAAAAAAAGGTCATATTGATATTTTAGTAAACTTTTTTTAAAAAAAATTAATATTTTCTAAGTATTTTAATTAATCAAATATATATAAAAAATAATTAAAAATATCTTAATAGAGGACACACCCATATAGATTGTTTATTAATTAAGCAATATCTCAAAATTAATTCATACTCTATTTAATTGATAATATTACTAGTATATCTAAAACTAAATTCATACTTCAAACTTTGGTGTTATCTTGTCCTATTTGAAATGTGAGACAAGTTTGATCTCAAAAGAAAATTATTGGCAAAGAAGAAATACTCCAATGGATTCTAAAGTTTAGGACAGTAACATGAAATAGTAATTGTAAATTTTACTTTTATATATATATTTAATGATTTTCTTATAAAAATATAATTCTAAATTAAAATTATTGAGTTCGATCAAACTCATACATTTATTTACCTTTGAGCTCCACCTTCCTCCCCCTTATAAAGCAGAACTATTCTTGTTCTTACCTTTAGCCTACTCCATTTTTTCTTCTTCTTTTACTCATACAACTGAAAAAATGATGTCTTTAGAAACTGCATCTACATCTGTTGATCCGAATTCGGGTCCTCGAATTTCCTTCTCCTCAGAATTTCTTGACGAGAAAAACTTCATATCCATTTGTCCAAATTCTCAACCAGAGAAAAAGCGCGAAAAAGAGCTTAATGCAGCAGAATTTGAGTTCTTATCCAGCAATTTCACAAACGGAAACATGACAACAGCCGATGAGTTAATTTTCGAAGGCAAATTACTTCCCTATTGGCAAATCCACCACGCTGAAAAACTCAACAAGATTAGTCTCAAAACAGAGCATGTCGAGGAACAAGTGAATGAAAAACAGGGGAGTAGTAAAGAAGAACAGAGCAGGCCAGTAAATTGGTTTATTGATGAAGATCCATCTCCTAGACCACCAACATGCACTGTATTATGGAAAGAGTTACTCAGATTGAAAAAACAAAAACAGAGGCCTTCCTCATTATCACCTTCATCTTCATCTTCATCATCCTCATCTTCTTCGAGCGCGAATTCTGAAATTTTGCACACTGATGAAAGCAGAGAGAAACATGTAGTGGACAAGATTAAGAAAAGATTGGAGAGATCTAAATCAGCAACAATAAGAGTAAGGCCTTTGATTAATGTGCCGATTTGCAGACAGGGGAAAAACAGTGCAATACCACCAATTTTTCCTATTAAGAAAGGAAGAGTAGAGAGATAATCAGAGAAGACATTACAGGTTATCATCAAATTTGTATAGATGGTCTATACTGTTTCCTTTTAAAATTTTCAAAATTTATTTCATTTGGATTTAGATTAATGTTCCTTCTAAGGATATTATGATTGTGTTTTCATTTCTTGTAATGTATTAAAAACTTATTCCATTGTAATCCCACATTTTTAGCTTTTCAATTGTTTTTTTTAATTACATGGGAAATCGGAGGTAAGGAAAGGAGATTACAAAATGAAGAATGGAATCCTTATTAACGAGAGATGAAAGTTCAGAGATAGACAGTCAATCAACTGAGCTACTGCGATCTAATATTTTTTATTTCAAAACAAGAAAAAGCGAACCATATAGTTGTTTTGAGTTCATTATGAACCTTATGTCTAGTTCACTTTCATTATAAATTTTTTCCCTGTGCGGGATATAACAAAGAAAACCTGCATACAATTGAGTTACAATAACTAAAAAATTCAGTTCAAATAAGTTTCATGGTGAATTACAGTAAAATACATTTTGAGAACAAACAGTTGGGCTTAACGTTTCCAATTAAGTTTTCGCAACCAGCTCTCATCGTCATAGTAAACACTATATTGCCTCCAGCTAAAATCACCACCGGTCACTATTTGACTCTTTATGTACGTATGAAGCTAGCCATTGGAGTGTATAATCAACAGACACGACGATGTCATTTGATATTTAGAGAAGATAGAAGCTGAGGGAGGTCGTGAGGTGAGATTGTTGGGTCAACAAACTAATCAATCTAATAGAAATTTCAAATTCAAATTATTCCTAAAGAGAAGTCAGTGTTTGAGTCATTGAGGGATGGCAGAACGTAGTAGGTATTGACATTTACTGCATCTTACAAATGTTCAACTCCACCAAGGTTGCTCAAATTTCACTTGAGAAAATTTCATTCAATGTATTATTGTTATAACTTATAACTATAATCACAACTGACATTTTTCTATCGAGTTGTCTCTTAGTAAATCATGAGCTAATTGATCTTTCTCCGATCATCCGCGTCTACAAAAACGGCCATGTTGAACGTATTCTCCGTTCACCTCACGTTCCTCCGTCACCGGAATATTCCACCACAGGCGACATCACCATTTCATCAAACCTAAAAAGCCAGAATCTTTCTCCCAAAGCTCTCAAATAATCAAAAGCTCCCAATCGTTGTGTATTTTCACGGCGGCGGGTTTCTGTGTTGGATCGACTTTCTCTTTCCTCTCCCAACGTTACCTGAACCTCTTAAGCTCTGAATCTACTGCTATTATCCTCTCTGTAGAACACCCACTTGCTCCAGAGCATCCTTTTCTGAAATTTACGAAGATTCTTGGAAAGTCCTTCAATTGGTTGTCTCTCATTCTGATGAAAACCCCAAAATGGAAAAAGAACCATGGTTAATCGACCATGGAGATTTTGATAAAATCTTCATCGGCGGCGACAGTGCCGGAGGAAACATAGCTAATAATGTAATTCTTAGAGCTGGGATTGAGGGATTGAACGGTGAAGTTAAAATCTTGGGTATGATTCTTTCGTTCCCATATTTTCTATCGTCAAGCGAAAACAGGGGAGATTGTTTGTTCAGTAAAATTTGGGGGTTTGTAAATCCATCAGCTGAGAATGGAATTGATGATCCAAGGATTGAAAAACCTTCAAGATTAGCAAAGTTGGGTTGTTTGAAGATTTTGGTGTGTATAGCAGAGAAAGATGAGCTGAGAAATTTGGGGATTTGTTATGCACAAGCCATGGAGAAAACTGGGAAATCAGTTGAGGTGATTGATGTTGAAGGAGAAGGACATTGTTTTCAGATTTTGAATCCTGAAAGTGACAGCCAAAAATGTGATTAATTATATTGCTAATTTCATCGAAGTGTGTTTATGTATTGAGGAAATTAAATGTAATAATATCTCCATTCAGATCGGAAAATAGAACAGATATGATCAAATTCAATGGGCGAAACATGTGGTTACGTTCCGTTCCTTCAATCAAAAGAAACTTTCATGTCTAGGATTAGTGTCGACTCATACTCCGAATTTTTTATGTGTACTTAACATTTACTCTTTGTAGTCGAGTGATTTAGACAAAAAAAAAATGAGCTATATCGAAGAGAATAATGCAAAACCACGGGCTATACAAGCAAAATTTCCAACACCTCATTTTTTTTAATTTCAACTTCAAATCTAGATTTTTTTACTTGGAGCTTAGTTGTACGTACAACTTGATTAGGCAAAATCCTTGAGCAACTTGGTAATTCTTAGAGATCTAGCTTGTCGACCTAGATTTGAGCTACAACAAGTTGTTGTTATCATGTTGCTAGTACTTTGGATCTCTCGTATACTTTGTTACCCCAAATTAAAATGGACTAAACAACTATTTATTGGGAATTGATAGATTTCTTTTGGGTAAATCTAAGACTTTTTAAGTGAATCCAACACTTTTGCTTTAGTATAATTAGATTCATCAATTCTCGTGTATCTTGTTCATAGCATATATCGTTGAGGTTCATTAGTCACGTATAATTTTTTAGCTTGTTAGCTTGGGGTGAACTCCTTCAGCCACTATATTGTTGAACAATTTGTAAATATATAAACTTTAAGTTGGACCTAACTCAATCCAAAAGAACTAGCACAAATAGGAGCATTGTTCGCGATCAAAATCAAGTACCACTTAGCCCACACTGATATGAGACTCCAGCATGATCATGATTAAATGAAGGATTTATACACTCTTCTTTCAATTTAGTATATATTATTCGATAAACAACAATAATATATATGCGTCATTTTTTGAACTATAAAATATCGGCTCTAAATAGCAAAATTATAAGACATATTTGCCTCTTTTCTCCTCTCTTAAATAACAACGTACAATTGAACTGAAAGGTGACAAAGGAGATTTCTAAACTCAACACCAACTAAATAATTTCACACATTATGAACTTGAAAAGATTACAATATAATGCACCTACGTAACACAATAAGACAAAGTAGCTCAACAACACAAAATTCACGACATTTAAAATTATAATTTTCAAACAATCTGAAACGGAAGATAATTAAATGGCTAGCTAGTTGCAATATGTTGCAAATAACATTTTTATATTTTTTATTTCTACTAATCACTTGTTGTGAATAAACGAAGCATAATGCATCATCATATCTTTAGCTTTTTCACAATCAGGTTTATATATTTGAAACGAATGACCTACTTCTTCAAGTTCAATAACCTTCAGTTCTCCTTTCCATCCACTTTTCTTCACACCTTCAACGAATCGAATCAATGTTTCTCTAGAAATATACTCATCTCTCTCCGCGATACAAACCAAAAGTCTCGAGCAACCCAACACCGACAAACTAGGTGCATTTTTAGCAAGTGGATTAATCATTGGACTATCAATAGCAAATAATCCTTGTTCTAATGATGGACAAATGTTTATCCAAATCTTATAAGGTATACCCTCTTGATCGATATTTTCGATCAAGAAGTATGGAAAAGCAAGAATTGAACCACATATCCCCACACCACAATTTAAACTTTCTTTACCTGCTCTCATTGTCATAGTAAAAACTATATTACCACCAGCACTGTCTCCAACTAAGAAGAGTTTATCAAAATCACCATAGGTTTTTAACCACGGGTCATAATTGGTAAAAGTACTGGTCATAACAGAGTCGTCTTTGTTAGCATGAGAAGTGACCCATTGAAGTGCGGTCCAACCATCATTATAGATCGTTGACACGTCATTCTCTGGGGCTAACCTATAGTTTACGGATACGATAATGGTGTTCAACTGTGAAGCTAAGAGATTTACGTAACGATGAGTCCAATTGGTAAAGGGGGATTCGATAACTAGTCCTCCACCGTGGTAATAGACTAATATGGGGAGCTTTTGGTTGGGAGTAGTAGTGTTTTTTGGAAGATAGAGCCTAGCAAAGACGTCAGGCGAGATGGTAATGTCTTTAGAGGAAACGTTATCAGATGTCTGTGATGGCGGGAGATAGTATGTACCATGTACGTCATAAAAACGTTCAACTCGACCGTCTTTGTAGACTCGAAAGAAAGGATATACATCTTTAACAACATCATTGTTTTCCATGATGACCAAATAATTAGTGTTGAAGAGACTTATGAGAATTTGGATGTCAAACATTGAAGTCACCCTTTGTGATTTTATAGCTAGAGATATTTTTTAAAGTACATTATTGCTTGTTTTAGTAATTCGAATCTTTTTTTTTTTCTATAGTTGTTTATAGTTTTTTGTTTTTGTTTTGTAGTTATCAGACATCCAGAAAGATTATTATTTTTTTATTTAAATTGTAAAAGGGTAAAAAATTTCATTTTCTCGAAAATAAAATGAAAAAGTATTACTCAAAAATCTAATTAGTAGCTTAAAATGTATTAGAAATGGTTTTAAAATGTTTTTCGTTCACTATTGAATATTGATTGAATCGAATTTGCATTTGGGTCAAAATTTATTTAGCATATTAGAAATAATTTTAAAATGTCATACTTCCATTTATTAGATTAAAATGTCCTTAATCTATTAAAATGATTCGAATTTTCCCTTCTTGAGTGATTTTTAGTAGGTTAAAGAATATTTTTTATCTTATAAATGGGAGAGAGATTTTTTATTTTGAATAATTTGTAATATGTGAAAAAGCATTTTTGATATTCCTAAAAAATGTTTATGTTTATTTTTTATTTTCATTGCCCATAAAAAATCTCAAAAAACTTTTGAAAAGTGTGATCACTAGATTGAGCAATATTACCCTTAATATTCCTAATTATGCTTAATTTTTTTGGCGTGATAATTCGATCTTAGCTCATAACTTTCCAATTTTGTAAAGTGCCCAATTATTTTATCCCTGGAGCATGCAGTAGATAAAGGAATAGTCAAAATATTGTCAATATCACTTAATTAGCAAAAAAGGTTATTCAATTCATCCATCTTCCAAGTTTGGGATTCAACATTTGTAAGATCAACCATTTTTTAGAAGGTCTAAATTTTCAGGAGCAATAGTTTTATGAGGTTTAAAATTAATGGTATTATTTATAAATTTCATAATAAGATAGTAATCGCAGCACTGTTTGAGAGAGAAGTTTAGAAAAGAGAAAGAGAAAATTATATTAAATGAATTTGTGTTACATTGAATGTGGACATATTGCTAGTAGTCACTCACAATTGACTCTTATAACTAACTATACGACAACTCACTAATTTTAATAAACTCAGACTATTAGCTAACTAACAGACTTATACCGTCGTCAGCTAACTAATCAATCGTATAGATTGTCTTAATCATTTTCATATATCTAACATTTTCCAAGAATTCAATAGCTTAAATAATAAGAATATATTTGATCCTGTGGATAGATATAGGAAAAATTTTAAATACGTAAACAACACTTCAATCATTTCTAAAATAATAAAAAATATGAAATTATTATCCATCGAATATTATTGGCCTGCGTATCAAAACACCGGAGGGATGATATTGGAATTTGTGCCGGGGATCTACTTATATTAGCGATGAAATTTTCTTTTTATAAATAAATAACAAAAATTTCATGTTAATCTTATTCAACATCGAATTATTAAAAAAAATTATATTGCCCTCTATTAGCAAATAATTAATAACCGATGCAAAAAATTTTATAGATAAATAATAAAAAATTCATGCTAATTTCATATTTTCTTGTAGTGTTAATACATCACGCATTTTCTTAATTTAATATCATAACATTTAATTTATTTTTACTTTCTTACGTTTTAAGTTAAATCAAAATCAAAAAAATAAATTAAAACCGTAGAAAGTAACAGAAATTGAGAGGACACCTATCCATTTTAATACATATTACATTAATCATGATAATAATAAAAATATGGGGTTACTTTATTGTTTTCCTCTAATTCCAAAGTTTTATTTATTTATTTATAATTCATGAATTATTGCATTTGGTGAAACCGTTATATTTATATTTTAATCAAGATCAAATTGGCGCGCAGTTGATCATGTGTATAACGTAAAATACTAATTTATTGATGAGAGGATAACTCTCCATTTTATGTTGAGTATTTTAATTCAATTTAATGAATAAAATAATTTAATTTAATAAATAAAATAATTTAATTTAGTTATATTAGATTTTAAATATAATTGATATTATGTTCTTTTTATTTCTATCTCTATGAGGTAATGATAAGATCTGCATACATTTTATCATGTTCTAACTCCACTTGTGATATTTCACTTAATATATTATTGTTATTGTAAACTTATGATAAATTCAATGATTTAGAAAATATATTTTTAAAATGAGTATAATTATTAATGAAGATACAAGAACTAAATAATAAAATATTTATTGATTTTTAATATTAAAACAAAACGAGCATCAATATTTAGTATAACCAACTTTCAATAAATAAAATTGAACTAAAAGGAAATATAATACCAGAGAGATAATCTTAACATATAGCAAAATTATATTATTGGAGACGTATCAACAAATTGGCATCGCGTCTTAAGCATAATCTGTAAACTTCTTATATATAAAACTTACCTTTACTGTATATAGCTTCGGCCAAAATAGTTGTTACGATATCACACTTTATGGAGGATATTTTACCTCCTAAACTATTTTATAGTATATTTTTAACTCTTTAACTATTTAATAGTGTATTTTAAAAATATATATGTGCCCACGTGGACACATTACTATTTATAATTATGCAATATTTTTTATATCTACGTGGATATATATATATCTTTAAAATACACTTTAAATAGTGCATGGGGGTAAAAGGTCCATTTTAAAGCTTGGTATCCTAACAACAATTTCGATCAAAATTCGGATATATTTCAAAGACTCTTTTTAAAATTCTTATTTTGTAATAGTGCAATTGTATCAGAGTACTTCTTAACCGAAGTGAGTAATTAACGTAATAATGTGATCACTTATATTACTTTATGAAATTTACTATTAATTTATTGAAGAATTATAAACAAGATTTCCGTAACCATCTATCTAAAAAATAATAATTCAAAAAACATATTTTGACGATTTTTATTTATTCCATTGCCTTCATTTTCATTTTGTTTATTGGGGTGGAGATTGAAGTACCAAAGTTAATCTATTGTTGTGGTGTATCAACTATTCAAGTTCTAATACGATATTTCGTGATCTAAACACAGAGAACAATTACATAGTGTAATTGATGATATCTTAATATCTTTCCGATAGATGATGTATCTTGATACCTTTTTAATGTGTTACATAATAATCTATGCTTGATACATTACATAATGATACATTTTTAATACATTTACATGATGATAGATTTCCGATACATGATGCATCATGATATCTTTCTGATACATGATGTATCATGATACCTTTTCAATACATTACATAATGGTATATCTTTTATACATTATATATGATACATTTTTTTATACATTTCCGCAACAAAGATGTATCATGATATATTTTCGATACATCATATAATGATACCTTTCTGACATATGATGTATCATGATATGTTTCCGATACATTACATAATGATACTTTTCTGATATGATGTATCTGATGTCTTTTCAATATACGATGCATCGTGATATATCGTATGCGTTAAAATAATTACGTACCTCTTTGATATTTTATGTTTTTGGACGACTTCTCTTCAGTAACCGTCATGCCATAAAAAGAAGAAATGCAAAGAGTAATTAAAATATTTGCCTAATATGAATAAACACAAAAGTGTAAATTTAGAAAAAAATTTAATTTAAACTTGAAAAAACATGCTAAATTGGTTGAGTCACGAGGTGTAAGAGAAATATACAGATAATATATATTATAAATGAGAAAAATAAAAACAAAAGATTAGTCAGATATAATTTTTAATCATGCGTGAAATAATAACTTGAGTATAACTGCATAAATTTGCTAACAAAATAGCACTATAAACTTTATTAGATAATTATTTTAGAGTAGAATTTTAAAAAGTAAATATAAGATTTATTGGTTGTTCTATCATTATTTTCTCCTATTTTGTGAAAGGGTCCATACATGTGTTAAACCAAGAGGATATGGATATTTGAATGGCCCAATTTACAAAAATGGTTGCTTCAACTTGCCCATACTCACGGTTGATGTATGATCTCTTTGAGAATCACATTGGGCTTTGATATCACCCTCTCATTATATTTAATAAATATTTTTACTTAGGACAAAAAATCTGAAATATATCTAAACTTTACTGAAATTACTATAATAATAAATTTTAGAAATGATCTTTTACCCCTCTACATTAGCGGTATGCACTATACAGATTAAATTGAATAATCAAACAAAATCAAATTGAATTTTTATTTGCATTGTTTTGATTTTCGGATTTATTTTGAATTAGTAAATTACTTTATTTGTTTTTTTTATTTGATTTCAAATTTAAAAAATAAAACCAAAAAATAGAAATAATCCGAATTATATATATGTGTATATATACCTTTAAATAGTGCAGAGGTAAAAGATTTTTCATAAAATTTGATATCGTAAAATTAATTTCCGTCAAAACTAAAGTATTTTTCAGAATATTTCCTTTTTACTTACATATCAAACACAATAAATAATCCAGTGACATTTTCAGATTAAAATATATTTTGCTTCGTAGAAAACATGCCCAAAGGTTGTGCAAAAATGAAACCTCTTGGTGACATCTCAAGTATAAAATTCTATGTTACTAATAATAAACCTTAATAGTAGACAGAGAAGGATGCAGTAGGGGTTTTGTGAATTCGAACGAACTCGGTAGCTATTTCGTAGATCTTATATTTTGTACTAGAAAATTAAATAAATACATATATATATTAACTTGTTAATCCCTAGATTCATCGATGATTCTCAATGGTAAGAAAGGGAGTCAGGGACCATAAAAATATTTTTCACGTTGGAGTTGTGCGTTGGAACCACCCATCCCCACTGATCTTTTTCCTTTTAAATAAAATTTAGAACCCCCAAACTTTTAATGTTAGCTCTGACCATGCAAATTTATATACCAAAATATTTTTGTTATAGTTGTACAAATCATGATCACTAGTCAAAAGAATAACTATTTCTATTCTCATATATTGTTCCATCATTTATTAACTATATATGATTGAAAATGCCAACTTGCAATAAGCATAGCATCAAAAAAATCTCTACCTTAATCTATCATTACTCAATTAGCATAAAATCTATAAACTTAAATACATATATGGTTCTTGTAATTGTAAAGCTACTAGCTAGTGCAGATTCCACACATTAAAAAATGCACATAAGATTCCATCAAAGTACCTAGTACATAATTTGTCTGTAAAGCAAAACATACATATGACCTTTAATGTCAACTAGGTATCATTATTCCAAATTGTTTTTTAATGTCTTTTCATGTACTTCATGTCAAAGCTTTTTTTTTTCCCCTAAAATTGTTAAATCAATTTTGATGCTAATATTGCTAATTATGGTATCAAAAGATAAGCACTAACATGGGAGTAGCAAGATGGGCATCACGAAGTAATTTAATTAATGTGTGTTCGGTACACAAGAAAATATTTTTAATCTTTTTTCATATTTGTTTAATCAATATGTTCTTTGAAAAAAATAAGTTCCTTGAAAATAAGAAATGACCTTCTAGATTCACAACGAACCTTCCG